GATATATCAGCATTTGCAAGAGATTATTAACTAACACCAATTTTATATGGATGCCAGTTCACAATTAATTAAGCAAGATCGCCATATACGGTTAAACGGCTTTTATATATATTTTAAAAACGACTGTCCTCGAATAAAATTGCCTGCAAGTTTTTTTTCTGCCATCAAAACTAGGTTAACCGATGGTACTTTGAACCATACATAAATTGCGGGTTATATAAGAAGTGGCTTAAACCAGTTAGTTTAAGCAGTAAAAATTAAGTTTAAACTGATATCAAGTAAGATGTCAACACCGTTAGAAAAATTCTAATTTGTCGTCAATTTTTAACTTTGTCCACACCGATGATGATGTAACGGACTGAAAAAATTATGGTGAAATTTTGTAACGCCTATTTTATATCAGCAAATTCAACTGCTCTTGCCGTTATTGTTATTATGTTATTAATTACTACCTAAAATTAATTTGTGGTTGTCAGTTGAACATGTATAAAACTCCTAGCAATAAAAATTTATGAGTTTCATAGGCGTCCCTAAAAAAGTTTTCTGCTAAAGGTAAAAAATTATAACAATTTATATACCTATAATATAATTTTCAATGACGCATTTATCCCAAATTTTTTCGGATAAGTTCTGAATCACCCTGTATACTAAATCGTGTATCTTCTTGAAATATGTCTCAATATATTAAATGTGCTATTACTTTTTGAAACAGTCGTAAAAAGTAATACGTAATACCGACGATATTTGATTCTGGCAATAGGAAATCGCTTTGGGCATGTTGAAGAACTCGGAAACGTCAGACCGACAAAGTGTTTGCGTTAGGCTGCTGAAATTTCACTTTCGCGCGGCAATTTTCTCCAGAGATGGGATTAGTTATTACGTGAAACCGAACGATGAACCGGGATTTTTATTAAAGACATGGGGCCGCGGGCGACCGCAGGGAAAGCTTGCGGTTCTCGATGATGGGATTTATGAGATTTTTCCCGTTTGTGTTATATGTTAAGATGGCACGATAAATGCAGATAATGCAAATCCGACTTTCCATTAGCCGCCTAACGTGAATGACATTCGGCGGCTTGAGATTTCACAGGATGTCTGATTTTGAGGAAGCTGTCCGAGGCCTTTTGGCGATGACTTTATAATTCACAAGCCTGCATTATAAAATAATCAACGTAGGGAAGAGTTTGTTGGCCGCTTGTAATTTTATTAATCTCAAATTTTTATGTCAAATGGTTGACATATTGATTAAAATTGTATAGATGTCTAGAAAATACTTATTTTTTAGTTCAACAAAATTTGGAAGACAACCCATAACAATGGAATGAGAAAATCATCGGAAGAAAAGCATTTTGGTCACAGGGAGGTTCTTAAGACAATTCCACAAAATCTACTTCAAAATTGTGATGGGTGGATGACAATTTCCTAGATCTTATTGTAGATTGCTGACTGTTCATTTCTTGTGGCTGGAAAACTATAATGTGCGTTTCTAGACTAAGTAGGACTTTCGTCCTTATATTTCAGTTCATTTCTGAGCCCTACTAGACCAGAGCACAGACATAATACCTTGTAGATACAGTTTGAACAAACTCATCTTGTCAGCAGATCAAGAAGAGAGTCCTCACTAGAGTGACAAAGACATGAGGCCGTAATCGTGGGGCAGGTATCTTCCGGAGGGGATTTTACGCTTTTCAGTTTCCGATTTTTGCTGTTATTGTTTTAATTGTATCAACGGATAAGTGCAGTTTTTGTTGACACTAAGTGATTAGTGATGTCGACACTAATGCTAGACACCTGTGACCTTGATTACATGCCACGATATACATACGTGTAATCTCTGACAAAGCGCCTTAACTTTCACATAATATTGGATATCAGCAATGGAGGATATTAAAAAACAACCGCTTTTTCAGGATACCCGCAACAGTTGGGTGTTACAATAATTCTCGCTCGGGTAACGCGATTGTTTTTCAAAACGTACCGGGCGTTGTTAATATGTTATCTGTAATTGGAGAAATCAAATTTACGAATTAAATAAATATTGGATTAATTGGATATCTGTTGGCTTTTATAATAATTTATAATGATAGCTTTGGCTAATTAACATGCTCTAGTAAATTTAGGTTATTTTGCGTAATGTACCATGTAGATTGTTTATAATTGATAGGTATTCAGTTAAGGCGAGTAAAAGCAGAACTGTTGGTGAAATATCCTATTTATATATATATGTAATTACAAATTCCCACATATTTATTTTTATAAATTAATAACGATAAAAACTGTCATATGAACATTCCCGATAAAACCTTTCATTTAAATAAACGGTTAAAAAACAATAGTTCATATTTTGTAATTAAATTGTTGCGAAAGTAAGTACACTGTAAAAAAATTTCACTATTTCACTTAATTCCACTCAATAATGAATGAGTTAAATTTAAATCGTATTAGATAAAAAGTCAACTCAAAATTGGTTTTATATACTCAGAATAGAGTCAAAAGTCACTCAATGGATAGTTAGCAGTCACTCGGACTTGAGTAAAACTCACTCATTTCTGATGCAATCGTTTTACTCAGTTGTACTCATACTACTAGAGTGAACATTTCACTCAATAGGGTGTGGACAGAAATTGATACATTGTTGAGTAACATTGAGTGAAATTTGAATGAAATTTTTTTACAGTGTATAAATCTGTAAATCTGCCAAAAAAACATGAGCCATACACTCGACCAAGCAAAAGTCACTCATACACGCTCCAACGACAATGAAATGCACGACCAGATAGTAATTTATATTCTAAATAGTGAATACACATACGCTAATAATAGATATCTATATGTTTTAATTTACAATATAATTTTAAAATATTACAGACAATCTAGTAAGCCGTTATTTTAATCAATTCGCTTTGGAATCATCACCACGGTTCTTAATCAATTAAGTGCAAATACTTTTTATTCGCCTAAAATAACGATAATCAAATTATACCGTAGAAACTGGCTACTGAAGCAATTATAATATTTTTTTTCGTTGTTTACTACATCGAGCTGTTACAATGAGCAAACCGCCGCCGAGACATTGCCCAAAATTAGTTCCCTACAACATAAAAATGTAGTTGTTGGTTTGAGGAATGAGAAAGAAGCAATTAATCTTATAGATCCTAATGTATTTATTTTATTATCAGAATTCAAAAAAATTTGAGGGTGTTGGTTTTTTTGTAATCAACTGTAAAATTTGTTTGTTCAGAAGAAAAAAATAAAAAAAATCAAGGAAGGAAAAACAGTGGCCTTGAATTTTGCCACTTCATTGAAGAAGGTATACTGCATTAGATATGGTATTTTAATTGCATTTGTTTGTCCTTGTTATTGTATATTTTTTGGCAGCGTAAAACAATCTAGAAGGACAGAAGTTTAAACTTGAAAAATTATCGGAAATGTAAGACGTAGGGATTTTTCGTTACCAGTACCAGTCGTGCAATGTTATCTAAGCTTGGGGGTTACACGGCCTGTAAACAAACATTTATGAAAACTCTGTACATGTCTGCCTCTAATTTGAAGCTTCTTATCGATCAATTTATTCGATACTTATCCATCGGCACCCTAATGCCTCCTCTGTCAGCCTAGCGTGCCGTGTCGTTTATGCGAGTGGAGTGAGCTTGACTCTTTGCTTGGTCGAGTATATGGTACGTGTTTTTGTGGCAGTCAGTAGCATGGTGTATCGTGCCCATAGAGGGGCATATCGGAATACCGAAGTCGAAATTGTATAAGTAGTGACATCTATTAAAGAAAAGCCAAACGACGAAAACAAAGATGACCACCGGTCGCTGAATTGCAAGTGGAAATGGATCTTATTTGTGGAAGGGCGAAACGGGCGGTGACTATGAGACGCTTTCATTATAGCCATCCTTCTCTGTCGCACGGATTTCTATTACTTTCCGACTTTCCGACCCTGTATACCTACTGTATAATTTTAATTAACATAGTTATTAATTCATTTGGTCAAATTCTTAAAGTTAAAGTATATAGTGAGTCGTGATAACTATAATAGGTACGAAGATAACTTAAAATAAACGAACACACATCAATTATAACTTATTATCTCAAGAGTATCTACAATTGCTACCTTTTATTCATTAGACCCATGACTGGATACTAAAAAGTCAGCCAACAAATTGAAACTGCGGAACGATTGGAAGGAAGGTTTGTTTTGAATCATTTGCAGGATGTAACTCTCAAAAACGGTTGTTCGTCCCTTTCAAGAAAATTACATTCCTTTGAAGGATGGCAACTCCGTTCGAAATAAAAGGCTATTTTTAGTCCCGAGAAGTAATTACACCATTGTGCCGTCAATTTTACTGCCATAATGGATGTTGACGGGCGTTATTAACTTCGCAGGGGTGAGATAATTCTAATCTAATTTTATGGTGTGACAAGCGGACGATATTTTATCGAATCGCCGCAAATTCCTTTATACGCCACACGGTTAATAAAGCTCGAATTAAACTTTAATATAAGGAGTACGAACCAAAACAATTTGAACGCGCGTTCTCATGCCTCTGTTTTCATTGGCTGGTTAACGTAAATATGTTCGAGCTCTGCCACCTAAAATTTCGTTCGACAATACCTAAAAGCTGCAGGTACAGGGTGAGCTGGGAAACGCGTTCTTCTTGAAACCGACTGAAGATAATTCATTTCTGAATATAACTACCTCTTTACACTCTCCAGTGGCGCTTATGTAATTATTTTCTCAGAAACAATGGTCGATTTTTACACTATTAAAAAAAAACGTCTGATTTATAAAAGGGGAAAATGTGACTCCATTTCGCAACGCCAGTCCGTTCCTGGCGTGTATATAAAAATTGACAATTAAACTCGAACCGTCCTATTCATCCATTACCTGTCTTAAACAAACTTCCGTTTCTCCGTTAATGATGCTTTATAGCCTTACATTACAATTTTTATCCCCTGTAATAAATTCAACTTAATGAATCAAATGATGAACTCACCGATTAACAGATTTGATGTTGGTTGTGAATTTTACATGATCCCGTCGTAAAATCTGAAAAAAAAAACCGATCCATTAATACAGAGATTAGGTTGGTAGCTAAACAGCATGATAAAAAGCGTTAATGATTTCTTTTAATGGTTTGCATGAGAAACATAAAACTATATATATAAAAAATTACTTTCTATAAACCATTTTGCTTGTGACCAATGGAAGACTTCTGAGATCGAAATTATTAAAACAATAAAAAACAAAAAGTGATATTTGTCATTTTTCGCGAGATTTTACCGATCAGCGATCGCATCTTCTCGAGTTTGTCATTGTTAATTGTAAACGAATCATTAATAGTGGCGACGTTGATATTTAGAGATATTTAGTTGGTTGCTTAAGCTCAGAGGTCACGTGGCTTGTAATCATTTATGAATGCTCTGTATTATACAGTATGCATCAAAATGACGAAACAAAATTCTTTTTTTTTCCAGTTGAAATTTAAAAAAATCGCTAAAACAGGTCAATTAGTAAATAAAAATTGTCACTTTTCTGCAATATTTTCTATTTTTTTAGCCAAAAAAAAAATGAACTTTGTTCCATCGTATTGGGACACACTGTATATGGTGTAAATCGTTTAACTGGTACGTAATTAAATAATTGCAAAGGACAACACAAATGATTCATTAATAAACATATTATAATAAAATAACGACTGTTTCAAGACTTGTCGATTTTACAGGAAAACAAAAACAGCTCCTTTAATAAAAATACAGCCAATTACAGAAATTATAGAAAATTAACAGTAATTATTTATGCGACCTTCAAATCGATAGTAATTAAAGTTATTATTATTTAATTGTGTGCATTTTAGTGGAAAAATACGTTTCTAGTTCCAGTCGCGTTGAACTTTGATAAAAACAAATGTCAACAGCTATCAAATTTTACGAGAGACACTTTTCAAGTCTCCTAAAACCCAACCAGACTATTTTGTTTAGCCTAGCAATAAAAACGAATGCAGAATATTTGAAAGTAACGAATTTATTACAGCTGCAATTAAATATTAATCAAAAACAGGTTTTAATGATACGTTTCAAGGGTAACAGTTAAATTAGCAATCGTTTATAGTAATTAACATCAGTTTATTATGGATATAAGGTGTCGAAAACTGTTGGGGGCAGGAAATTGCACCTTAAAAAAACAAGTCGAATAATACATATTTCAAATGGTAGTTATTATAAACTAACTAAATTTATTTTCTAATCTTTACTTCGACATACAGGGAATGTTTTCTGTTGAATTTAAATACGTCTGCCAAAATTGATGACTTTCTAACAAAAAACAGATCAGAATACAAAAATTAGTAATATTCTTTTGTCCATTTGCTGCACATTTATTAATTGTACAAGGACTCATTATCTGGGTCTGGATCATTTTAGGAAAATACGTTCGTAAGAATACTTGACAATATAATTTGACGCAGGTTATTTAATGAAGAAAAAATAAACTCTTCTGAATAGTGTCTTAATTTTAACATATTTCTGCCAAAAATGGGAAGATGTTAATAGTATTTAAAAAACTCTTTGCCTTCTGTTGGTGCAGCCCAAAACCGAAACGCGAAATTTTCATCCGGTTTTTGCGTGTAAACGTCAAGATTTAATCCTACGCCGTTAAGTGCTCGAGACTGTTTTGCTCGTAAATCTCTCCCCTTAAGTAATTTCTCACATAATTTCTCACACACATTACGAACTCTTAATATTTAATGTGCAATTTCGGTCTATATGGCCGATCTTCGTGCTCTCGCTCGGCGGGTAATTGCACGGTGAGAATTACGGATTTGCATTCTACTATTACTATTACTTTATTCACACGATCATCAGGTGAACCGAATAGTCATCGTGCGAGGACAGCTGAAGGTTTTCCGAAGGTGAATTTATCTTACTCCGCATAAATCGTCGCGAACAAACGCAGTGTTCCGCTTCCCTCAAGACTAACTTCTTAATCAATTATATTCGTAGTCTAAAACGCAAATAGAAATATCAAACATAATAAATTATCCAAACCTATTTATAATAAAAACAATTGTAGATATGTACTTGATTTTAAGTAAGACGGATTAAAAAGATCATTGTTTCAAATAGTTTCGTGTCAATATCAGAAACGATAATCTCTTTTGATCTGATATCTGTAATTTAATAAATAAATATGTCAGTTTATCTTTTTGAATGGTCAAAGCAAAATATTATATAAGCGCAAAAATCAATTTCAAACACAAGGTTTTTATTTATAAATCATACAATTTAGAAATAACTAAACCAAAAGCAGTGCCATTATTTGTTTCTGAATAATATACATATATTTCTACATTTGCTACGTAAATCTGGATTAAGCCGAAAAAAATCCCTATGCGGCATTACATTATCCGACTTGAATTAAAAAACGGTCATAACCGTATGTCTCTGTTGGCATTTGCATACAAAGTGAAAAAGAAAATAAAGCAGAACAAACCCTTCGCATACATGAAGTCTATAAAGCATAACAATAGTAATAATTTTATATGAGAGCCATCTCCTCCATACTAGCGGCCTCGGAGCAGAACGTATACGCATTTTTTATGTTGATATTATTGTATCGGGTGTCATCTCTAAAGGAAAATAGCGAAATATATTGGAATATCGATTCTATAAAAGGTTCTCCTTTGTGGACAAGAATTCACTTGGTCAGATATTCTCTGAAAGTCAAAGCGGCTTTCTGGTTAAGGAATAGAAATTTGCTAGAGGAGCGATTCGTTTCAATTGCAAAGGAAAGTGGCGGATTTTAATTGTGCTTTTACCACTTTTACTTCGAGATGTATTCGTCTGGAAAATAAATAAAATATGCGGTATACGGGTACACAATCAATAACTGTTAATAACAGCTAGAGCTGGAGCATGCGATGTCAGTGGCGTCAGTAAGAAATTTTAAAATAAAAGTACTTTTGTAGCGGATGTTTTATTTTTTGCTACAGAAAACGACTTTTACACTGATTGAACAACGAATTTCTTTAGATGTAGCGACCGTGTCAACGCATGAAATACACTTTAACACTAAAAACAAAAAAGCCACAGTGACCCTACTTCCCCGCTTTGTCTATGCACCAAAATGTCGAGCTAATAATAATGAAAATCGCATACTAATCTCGTTCTAATAACAGTCACACCCGTATCAATAAATTGTAGCGATTTCAGTTCAGTTAAAGTTAAAACGCAGAGGAAATGCCCATAAAAAATTGTCAACATTAAGAAAATGTCATAATTTTACAACTTTGCCTCGAAATTTCCGTACACCGAAGCAGCTGTTTCAGTAACCAAATGAAATACTGTCGCTAAACAAATATTCTAGTTCACCGTTTGGTTATTCCAATATTTGAGAAGTAACAAATGAGCAAAAGAGAAAAAAGCGTCTAGCTACTTTAACAAGGTTAACAGTTTTGTGAACGTTAATAAAAGAAAAAATTGGTATCAATATTTTAGAATGTCAGTCTGCTATACCCAGATCGGAATAAATGTAGCTATTAAATGTTAAAAGCAACAGAATTTTAATTTCAATTAGAGATTAGAGATTTATGTTTACAGAAAGCGTGGAAATTAATAGGGATTATTAGTGAAAGGGTCTGAAAAAAATGTAAAATGTTTTTTTTATCATTATTTGTCTTAAACCTATTGTCAAAAGTGGAATTTAATTCTGCATGTTTATTAAGAAATTACTAAACACTGTTCATAAAAAAAATGAGATATTATAGTCTTAATTAACACAGGCACTAATAAATCCACCATTGTACAGGGTGCCTCGAACTCGATAGTATGAGCCTATTGTGAGGATACAAAAAATTTAAATAAAATTTGAGACTCGTGGTGTTAAATGGGATGAGGTAAGCTCCATTTTCAATCAAAAGTATTATCTTTGGGATTTGACAGAAACGACTAATGACGTCATCAATTATGTTTTTTCCAGAGTCATACCCAAATGTTTTCCTGTTAAAAAGCTCTCTTTTTTATAATAAACTTTTAATAGAGAAATTTTTTTTCTGTATTAGTTCCCGTTTAAAAGTTATAAGCAATATCGTCCTAAAGAGTCTCAAAGGAAATACCATTCGTTGCAAAATAATTGAATGTTCGTTGTTTGAAGTGCATAAATGTCATTAAGAATAAATAAAACGATTAAACTCGATAATTCTTTAATACATTTAAAACAAAAGATGATTATAACAATAACTCTTAAAAAATAAGGCAAACGCTTTCATACTGCATGCATATTACAATCTATTCTCTATATAATCTCCTCTAAAAGTACAAAAACGAAATCGTTTCCAATTAATTTAATTATAGAATTATTACTTAACTCCGACATTTCAAGTAGCCCCATGAACGGCTCCACAAGGCACTTGATTAATTCATTTCTCAGAGCAGTCATAATTAAGATTAACTACTTAATTAACTTCGATCTAACTACTACGCCTCCACAGCTCAACACAAGAACGGAAGTTAAGTCGGTATACGGAAGGAGCTCTCTGTGCTTTCAGCGGGATTTATTAACATGACATAACGCACACATACAACTTCCATCAAGTATTTAAATTTTCTCCGCAACCGGCAACCAGTGCATTCACCGCTGTATCATCTAACTTTTCAGCGTTTTTAATATACGAGACACGGGTAGGAACAAAGCAATTAAATTGTTAATTTACCATAGAGGGTGATTCACAACCTAGAACCCTTTGGGAATAGATGCGTCATGAAAAATGGAGTCGATATCGTAAAAAAAATTGTAAAATCCTTGGAGTACTTTCAACCCTTACATCGCTGGGCTACTGTGATCTCTAGCGTCATTCGCCCACGTGGCTCCAGCCGATTCCGAATACTGAAATTCGCTTCTAGTATTATCGTTGTTGTGATAGTGTTTACATTAGTTTTTCAAGTGTCAAAAATGGCTTACGTGTGTAGCAACTCGGAGTTGATGGATATAGCTTAAATTTAAGGTGAAGCAAGACATTTGTGTTAGTATGGACATTTTGAATGTTATGATGT